GGGGACACGGGTTCATGCCCCGGTCTGGGAAGATCCCACATGCCGCGGAGCGGCTGGGCTCGTGAGCCATGGACACTGAGCCTGCGCGTCCGGAGCCTGTGCTCCGCAACGAGAGAGGCCACAACAGTGAGAGGCCCGCATACCGCAAAAAAAAAAAAAAAAAAAAAAAAAGGATAATAAGGGAGTGCTATGAGCAGTTCTATACATAAATTTGAAATGAACCAATTCCTCAAAAAGCACAAACTATCACAACTCATTCAATATGAAATAGATAATTTGAATAGTCCTATAACAATTAAGGAAATTGAATTAATGATTTAAAAACTCACAAAAAAAGAAATTTCCAAGGCCTGAAAGTTTCACTGGCAAATTCTACCAAAAATTTAAGATTAATTAACACAAACTCTACACATCTCTTTCAGAAAACAGAAGGGGGAACACTTCTCAACACATTTTATGAGGCCAATACCATCCTGATACCAAAATTAGACAAAGACAGTATAAAAACAACTGGATACAGACCAATATCTCATAAATATTCCCCAACAAAATATTAGCAAATAGAAGCCAGCACTATGTAAAAAGAATTATACATCATGACCAAATGGGTTTTATTTCAGGGATGCAAGGCTGTTCAGCTTGAAAATCAAGCTATGTAATATACCATGTTAACAGGCTAGAGGAAAAAAAATATTTATCAAATTAAATGAGAAAGAAAAAGCATGTGACAAAATTATACATCCATTCATAGTAAAAACTCTTAGCAAACTAGGAATAGAGATGAATAGCAGGGAACTTCAACTTAATAAAGAGTATCTACAAAAAATCTACAGCTATATCACAGTTATTAACACTGAATGCTCTTCTCTTAAGATCAAGAAGGCAAGGATGTCCACTCTCATCACTGCTATTCAACATGTTACTGAAGTTCTAGCCAGTGCAACAAGGCAAGAAAAGGAAACAAACTACATTCAGATCGGAAAGGAAGAAATAAAACTATCCTTACTTGCAGATGACATAATGATCTATTAGAAAATCTCAAGGAATCTATAAAACAAACTCCTAGAACAAATAAATGAGTTCAGCAAGATCACAGGTAAAACATCAACACAAAAATCAACTGCATTTCTACATACTACCAACGAACATGTGAAAAGTAAAATTAAAAATACAATATCACTTACAATTCCCAAAAAATGAAATATTTAAGTGTAAATCTAACAAAACATATACACGACTTACATGCTGAAAATTACAAAACAGTGATTAAAAACATCAAAGATCTACATAAACAGAGATACTATGTTCATGGGAGACTCAATATAGTAAAGATATCAATTCTCCCCAAATTGATGACAGGAGTAATGCAATTTCTAATAATTCTTGCAAGATTTTTATAGATTAGACAAGAGGATTCTAAAATTTATATATAAAGGCAAAGATATTAGACTAGCTAAAACAACTTGGAAAAAGTAGAATAAAGTGGGAGATATTGGCTTGATACTAAGGCCTATTACATAGCTACAATAATCAAGACTATGTGGTAATGGCAGAAGGACAGATATATGGACCAATGGACAAGAACCAAAAAATAGTCCCACAGAAGTATAGCCAAATGATTTTTCACAAAAATGCAAAAGCAATTTGGTAGAGAAAGGATGGCTTTTTCAACAAATGGTGCTGGAGCAATTGGACAGCCACAGGCAAAAAAAAAAAAGAAAGAAAAAGAAAAGTGAACTCAACCGAAATCTCACATCTTATACAAAAATTAATTTAAAATGCACCTTATACTTAAATATAAAACGTAAAGCCATAAACCTTTTAGAAAATAACATAGGAGAAAATCTTCAGGACCTAGGGCTTAGGGAACAATTCTTAGACTTGACAACAAAAGCATGACTAAAACAAAAACTGACAAACTAGATTTCACCAAAATTAAAAAGTTTTGCTCTGTGAAAGACCTTGTGAAGGAAATGAAAAGACAACCCATAGACTGGGAGAAAATATTTGCAAACCACATATGAAAAATTACTCATACCTAAATTATATAAAGGATTTTCAACATTCAACAATAAAAAAGCAAACAATCCAGTTAGAAAATGGGCAAAAGATGTGAAGAAACATTTCACCAAAGAGCATATACAGATGATAAATAAACACATGAAAAAAATGTTCAAAATAACCAGCCATCAGGGAAATGCAAATTAAGACCACGAGATACCACTACACACCTATGAAAACAGCCAAGATAAAAAACAGTGATAAAATCAAACGTTGGTGAGGATGCAGAGAAACTTGATCTCTCACACTTTACTGAAGGGAAGGTAAAACGGTGCAGCCACTCTGTAAAACAGTTTGGTAGTTTCTTAAAAAATGAAATAATCACTTACCATGTAAACTAGAAATTGCACTCCTGGGCATTTATCCTAGAGAAATGAAAACTTAGGTCCACACAAAACCTGTACACAATGTTCATAGCAGCTTTATTTGTAATAGCCAAACCTGGAAATGAACAAAATGCCCTGCAGTAGACATTCAGTTTGTATTATACAAGCTGGTACATCCAATCCATTGAATACGACTATGTAGTAAAAAGGAATGAACTACTGATATACACAACAACTTGAACGTAACTAAAGGGCATTATGCTGAGTGAAAAAGGCCAATCTCAAATGGTCACATATACTATGATATAATTTATATAACAGTCTTGATATGACAATTATAAAGATGGAGAACAAATGAGTTATTGCCAGGAGTTAGGGATTGTGGCAACATTGGTGGTCAGGATGGGTATGACTATAAAAGGTCAGAAAGAGAGGAATCTCTGTGGTGATAGAATATTTCTGTACCTTGACTGCAGTCATGCTTACAGGAATCTCTACATATGTGATTTAAAAAAAACATAGATATACACACACATTGAAACAGTGCCAATTTCTTGGTTTTGATATCATAGGTAAGATGTAACCATTAGGAGAAATTAGGTGAAAGGGTCACAGTACCTCTCTATACGGTCTTTGTAAGTTCCTTTGACTCTAAATAAAATAAACTAAAAAAAAAAAGGCCCTGAGACTGTTAAAACTGCTTCCTCGCCACATAAGACAACATTAAGTCACTATCTTAAAACTTATTTTAATGTGTCTTTCTAACTGGTTAACAATGAACAGAATTATATTTATATTCTATTTCTGAACATTACTGAGTCATGAGAAAACAGAAGATAGGTAGAAAAACAGACATAATCTCTCACATTTGTGAATTTAATCCAGACAAGTTTACAGATTTAGCTACTCAAGAGTAACCCCTCAAATCCATGGAGTGTGTGTGTGTGTGTGTGTGTGTGTGTGTGTGTGTGTGATATGTGTGTGTGTGTGTGTGTATATATATATATATATATATATATATACACACACACATGATGAATCTGAATCAGAGACACTTTCTGGCATATGTTTAGGAGGCTTAATTTGTTAGTGAAAAAGCCAAGCTGACAGCTCAACATCCACATTTCAATGCTGTTCCCTACTAGTTATCAAATATGACTATTATGGGACAAATCATATGCTATTACGATATTTACAAATTTGGGAAACTGAGCAAGCCAAACGTTTAGATTAAATTTGACAAATTAGACTAGGATAACTCAATAAAATTACTTCTTTACACTCATGCACAAATGATAATTGTTTAAAACATGGCAAACAAAATATAAAAATGTACTTATTCTTTAAAAAGTTATGTAATCATTTTTAAAGTAACTTTACTGTACTCGAACAATCCCTTTGTAAGCTCTCCCAGACTCTACAGATTTTAAATACCTAATAAGAATATACTCCTCCTATGGTCTAACTGGAATTTCCCTAGTTTTAACCCCAGGTGTAGTTCAGGACTCTGTTAGAATTAAAACACGTTTTACACACAAAATATAATACCTTTCATACTTTAGAACATTTAGTAAGTCATATCTTAGCCATCTTTGCATTAAACTAACCCCATCTCTTCATCACTTTCTTAAAGGCAATGCTTTCAACGTGTATGTGTGTGCGCAAATGTTTATATGTATGTATACACATAAATTTTTCTCTTCCAAATGCAGTTCAAGTATGTAATTGCTGATAGTTAAAAGCAACATCACCTATATAACACAACCTCTACCTGCAGTTGTTTAAAGTATATTATTCAAATTATTACAGTAAGTAAAGAGATCAAGAATACCTCGTTAACCTTAAGACACTCTAACAGATGTATCACCAAAGATGATATAAAAATGGCCAATAAGCACATAAAATGATTCTTGACATCAACTAACATTAGGGAAATGCAAATTAAAATCACATGAGATTCCATTACATACCTATTAGAATGGGTAAATTTTTTTATTTTTAAATATGATAATACCAAGGACGCAGAACAACTGAAACCCTCATAACATTGCTGGTGGGAATGCAAAATTGTACAACCACTTTGGAAAACAGTTTGGCAATTTCCTGCAAAGCTAAACATAAATTTACCATATAACCTGGCAATTGCACTCCTGGATTTTCATTTCACTTGGATAAATATCTATGGTCACACAAAACTTATACATGAATGTTTAAAGCACCTTCAATTTTAATTTCAAAACCTGGAAACAATTCCAATGTCTCTCAAATGGAAATGGTTAAACAAGCTACTCATTCACACAACGAATATGTCCATATAATGAAAACAAACCATACATCCATACAATGGACACATCCATACAATGGAATACTACTCAACAATAAAAAGGAGCAAGCTATTGACATATGCAGCAATGTGGATGAATCTCAAATGCATTTTGCCATGTGAAAAAAGTGAGACTGAAAAGGCTACAAATTGTATGATTCCATAAGTGAATTTCCTAAGGGGTGATGAAACCATTTTGTATCTTGACTACATCTTGCATTTGTCAAAAATTATAGTAGTAGACACTAAAAAGAGTAAATTTTACTATATGTAGATTTAAAATGATTTTTTAAGAACTATACATTCAGAAATGCTTCCTACCTCACATTAGTTTCATCATTAAATTCTTCAGCCCATTTTTTCCTTGATTGAGCAGTTGTAGAACCATCTAAACGGTAATAGTCTATGTTTCGGAGCCACTTCCCTTCACCTGAAAATTCAACAAGAAAAGAAAAAAGAGACATATATTGTTATCCTAGTACTAAAAGATTTTCTTCCTTGCTTGCCATTTAAAAGCTGGTCATAGGCCTTCCCTGGTGGCACAGTGGTTAAGAATCCACCTGCCAATGCAGGGGACACAGGTTTGAGCCCTGGTCCAGGAAGATCCCACATGCTGCAGAGAAACTAAGCCCGTGCACCACAACTACTGAGCCTGCGCTCCAGAGCCCATGAGCCACAACTCCTGAAGCCTGGGTGCCTAGAGCCCATGCTCTGCAACAAGAGAAGCCACCACAATGAGAAGCCCGTGCACTGCAATAAAGAGTAGCCCCCACTCACTGCAACTAGAGAAAGCCTGCGCACAGCAACAAAGACCCAACACAGCCAAAAATTTTTTAAAAATTAAAAAAAAAAAGTTGGTCATATATAGTCAATTTGCATAGCAAGACAAATTTTTTAAATCAAGGGATAATTCATCATATTACAAATAAATTCACTACAGATTTCCTTCCAACAGATATTGAATAGCAAAGGTACTTTTCAAAAGTATTTCATCTACATGTAAATGTCTGAAAATACTTCCTTGATTAGAATCCTATAAAACTTTCAAAAGTATGATTAAGCTGTATTATGTTCATGAAGCTTCTTTTTAATTAAATCTATAAATGACCAGGTTTCCCACCTTGTTATCAACAAGTTGATACTAAACAGATAAAAACCAGAGACATAGAACACGTTTATTCATTCACTGAACAAATATTTACAGAATGCCTATTTATGTGCCAAAAAATATTCTATGATTTAGCCACAAATATCAGCATATGTTCCTATTTCATGACAATTACATATTTGTGAACATGTATGAACAAGTAAAGAACTGTGATTTTATAAGTTAAACACTGATCAGACATGTCAACATTTGCACAGTGCGGTAAAATTTTACCCAAGCCTGACATTCATACTAAAACACCAATGGATAAAGTACTTATGACCCTTTTATATTTTATCATACATAATTTCCATTCTCATTTTTTTTCATTCTAATTCTTTAACTGCAAACATAATACTACTACTTCCACTCCAAGCAAAATTCATATCATCACACCCTGGAGTCTTAATATAAAACAAGTTGACAACACTGAGATTTATGTCTTTCAGCAAACTTTTTAGTTAAATTCAGTACGTTAGTTTAAAAGATGCTTCTTGGTAGTATGGTCATTTTAGTAATGTTAATTCTTCTGATCCAATGGCCATACTACCCAAAGCAATCTACAGACTTAATGCAATCCCCATCAAAATACTCAGGACATTTTTCACAGAACTAGAATAGATAATCCCTAAAATTCATACGGAACCACAGGACCCCAAATTGCCAAAGCAATCCTGAGAAAAAAAAGAACAAAACTGGAGGTATCACCCTTTCAGACTTCAGACTATACTACAAAGCTACACAGTAATCAAAACAGTGTGGTACTGGCAGAAAAACAGATGCATAGATCAATGGAACAGAATAGAGAGCCCAGAAATAAATCCACATACCTATGGTAAATTAATCTACAACAAGGGAAGCAAGAATATATATGGAGAAAAGTCAGTCTCTTTGGTAAGTGGGGCTGGGAAAACTGGACAGCTACACGTACAATGAGATTAGAACATTTCCTCACACTGTATAAAAAAATCAACTTTAAATGGATTAAAGACCTAAATGTAAGACCTGAAACCATACATCTCCTAGAAGAGAACACAGGCAGAACACTCTTTGACATAAAGTGTAAAAATATTTTCTTGGATCTATTTCCTAAGGCAAAATAAATAAAAGCAAAAATAAACAAATTGTACTTAGTTAAACTTAAAAGCTTTTGCACAGCAAAGGAAACCACTGACAAAAAGAAAAGAAAACCCACATAATGGGAGAAAATATTAGCAAACAATATGACCAACAAGGGGTTAATATCCAAAATATACACACAGTTCATACAACTAAATATCAACAAACAAACAACAGTATCAAAAAATGGGTGGAAGACCTGAACAGACATTTTTCCAAAGAGGACAAAGAGATGGCTGACATGAAAAGATGTTCAACATAGCTAATTATTAGAGAAATGCATATCAAATTCACAATGAGATATCACCTCTCACCTGCCAGAATGGCTATCATCAAAAAATCTACAAATAACAAATGTTGGCAAGGATGTGAAGAAAAGGAAACCCTTTGTATACTGTTGGTGGGAATGTAAACTGGTGCAACCACTATGGAAAACAGTATGGAGGTTCCTCAAAAAACTAAAAATAGAACCACCATATCATCCAGCGATTCCACTCCTGGGTATATATCAGAAAACCTGAAAACACTAATTCAAACACATACATGTACACACATACATGTACACAGCAGTAGTCAAGATATGGAAGCAGCCCAAGTGTCCATCAATGGACAAATGGATAAAGAAGATGTGGTGCGCGTGTGCGCGCGTGCACACACACACACACACACACACAGAGGAATATTACTCAGCCATAAGAAAAAGAATGAAATTCTGCCATTTTCAGCAACATGGATGGACCTAGGGAATATTATGCTTAGTGAAATAATTCAGAGAGAGAAAGACAGATACTGTATAATATCACTTATACGTAGAATATAAAAAATAACACATACAAAGGTATATTGCAAAACAGAAAGAGACTCAGAGATATAGAAAACAAACTGGTGGTTACCAGTGGGGAGAAGCAAGAGAGGAGGCGTAAAGGAGGCATAAGAGATTAAAAGATACCAACTACTATGTATAAAATAAATAAGCGACAGGGGTATTGTATAGCACAGGGAATTATAGCCATTATTTTATAAAACTTTTAATGAAGTATAATCTGCAAAAATACTGAATCACTATGCTATACACCTGAAACTAATATAATATTATAAATCAACTATACTTCAATAAAAAAAAAATCTACTCCTTTGAGAATTTGGACTAAAACAAACAAACAAAACAGCAAAAGTAAGTATGTCTCATCAAGTCAAATTTTGTTTATGTCCTAAGGACTGTAATATCCTACAAGATTCAAATATTAAGGATTTCTGGAATAAATGATCTAGTTTTATTAATGATATTCCTACAAACAGGATGTGTTTCAATTGTTTTCCTTTTAAATAATATTAAAAGTTTAGGGCTTCCCTGGTGGCGCAGTGGTTGAGAGTCCGCCTGCCGACGCAGGGGACGCGGGTGTGTGCCCCAGTCTGGGAGGATCCCACGTGCCGCAGAGCGGCTGGGCCCGTGAGCCATGGCCGCTGAGCCTGCACGTCCGGAGCCTGTGCTCCGCAACGGGAGGGGCCACAGCGGTGAGAGGCCCGCGTACCACAAAAAAAAAAAAAGTTTAAAAGTCTTAGGATACATCTTAAAGTATATAAGAATAAATTATTCCTGAAAAAAAAATCTAAAACTAACGAATTAATAAAAATAAAACCCCCACATGATCATCTCAGTAGACACAAAGAAATCATTTGACAATGTTCAATACACATTCATGATAAGAAAAACACACTCAAAAAACTGGAAATACTGATACAAGGAACTTCCACAACATGATAAATGATATTTATGAAAAAAATACAAATAACACCATACAGAATGGTGAAAGATCAGATGCTTTCCCTCTAAGATTAGGAAAAAGAAAAGGATGTCTGGTTTTGTCACTTTAATTCAACACCATACTAGAGGTTCTAAGGAGGGAAATGGTCAAGAAAAAGAAATAAAAGTAATCCATATTGTAAAGGAAAAAGTAAATTATCTCTATTTGCAGATGACATGATCTTGTATAAGGAAAATCCTTTAAAAATCCACAAAACACTATTTGAACTAATAAATGAGTTATTATGAAAAACTTAATTTATACATTTGCAACGAAGAATCTAAAACTAAAAGAGCACAATTCCATTTACAATACTATCAAAAAGAATAAAATAAATTTAACATAAGAAATGCAAAATGCATACACTGAAAACTATAAAACAACAGTGAAAGAAATTAAAGACCTAAATAAATGGTAAAACATCCCATGTTCATAGATCAGAAGACTTAACATTGTTAAGAAGGCAATACTTCCTAAAATGAACTACAGATTCAGTGCAATCACTATCAGAATCCAAGCTGACTTCTTGGTAAAATTTACAAGCTAATTCTAGAATTCATATGGAATTGCAAGGGACCCAGAATAGCCAAAAAAATCTTGAAGAGGAACAAAGTAGGAGGACGCACACTTTCAAAACTTATGTTCAAAGTAAAGGTAATCAAGACTGCTACTAGCATGAGGAATGACATACAGATCAATGGAATAAAACTCAAGAGTCAAGAAATAAACCTGTCTCTTTGGTCAACTAATTTTTAGCAAGGGTACCATGAACAGTGAATGGGGAAAGAACAGTCTTCTCAACTGGTAGACTGAAGTTGGACCTTTACCTCACACTAAATGTAAAAATTAACTCAAAATGCATGAAAGAACTAACTGTAAGAGCTAAAACTATATAATTCTTTGAAGGAAACATAGGGGTAAATAGTCATAGACTTGGATTTGGCAATGGTTTCTTAGATATAACACTAAAGGCATAAGTAACAAAAGAAAAAAAAATAAAATTGGACTTCATCAAACTGAAAACCTTTTCCGCATCAAAGAATACTACCAAGAGAATGAAAAGACAATGAAAAGAATGAGAAAATATTTATAAGGCATGTATCTGATAAGGGCCTGGTATGCAGAAAAAGTTTTTTTAATTAAAAATAATTTTAAGTTTTTCAACTCAATAACAAAAAGACAAATGGGCAAAGGACCTGAATAAACATTTTTCCAAAGATATACAAATGGCCATGAAAAAATGGTCAACGTTATTAGTCATTAGAGAAATACAAATCAAAATCAAAATGAGATACCATTTCACACCCACGAGGATGGCTATAATTCAACAACAACAACAACAAAAACAAGTGTTGGTAAAGATGTGGGGAAATCAGAAACCTTGAACACTACTTCTTGAGAATGTAAAATAGTGCAGCCAGTGTAGAAAAGAGTTTGGTGGATCCTCAATACATTAAACTTAGAATTGCCATATGGCCCAATAATTCCATTCCTAACTAAATATTCAAAAGAATTAAAAACAGATGTTTAAAGAAATGAAAACTTGTATATGAATGTTCATAGCAGCACTATTCACAATAGCCAAAAGGAGAAAACAACTCAAATATCTATGAATTAATGAATAATCAAAATGTGGGTATTATCCATGAAATGGAATATTATTAGGCCACAAAAAGGAATACAGCACTGACACTTGCTACAACTTGGATGAACCTTAAAAACATGCTATGCGAATGAAGCCAGTCACAAAAGACCACATATTATATGACTCTATTTATATGAAAGATCCAGAATAGGTCAATCATACAAACAAAGTAGATTAGTGATTGCTTAGGGGTAAAGAGGTAGAAAGGGGGTTAGCAGAGCGACAGCTAAAGGGTACAGGGTTTCTTTGGTGTTGATTAATATGTTTGAAAATTGACTATGGTGATAGTTACACAACTCTGAAAATGTACTAAAAACCATTGAATTGTACACTTTAAATGGGTAAACTGCACGATATGTGAATCATAACTCAATAACGCTGTTTAAAAAAAAACAGCGAAAAAAATTTTGCTACAACTGCAGCAACAAACACCACATTTATATGGATAAGGACAAAAAGAAAGGACAGAAAAAATAGATATATTAGGGTTGTGGGTCTGGGTAATATTGTTTTCTTCTATTGTTAAAATGTGTATACGATATGTTTAAATGAATATTTTTAAAATTATGATATACAAATGTAACTCACCCTTATAAATAAGAGGTTTATCTTTATCTTCTGTCTTCTCCCTACTAGCCAATTCAAGAAAATCTTCAATCAGGTCCAGAGATATGAGAGACTGGCTGAAAACAAGGCTAAAAAGACAAGTTAGTATTCATGGATTAGAAGATTCACAAACAACATGATTCTAATCTAAACCTCAGTAAATATCCAAAAGAATTAAAAATTAGAAATTTGTAGAAATTAAAAAGCTGATTCTAAAGTTTATATGGGTATGCCAAGCACACAGAGTAGCCAAAACAATTTTGAAAGGAAAAACGTTGGAGGCCTAACTCTACATGATTTCAACACAAAGCTAGTGTAATCAAAATAGTGTAGTACTGAGGAGACCAACACAAATCAGTGGAACAGAATATAGTCCCGATATAAAGCTACACTATAGTTAATTGGTTTGTGACAAATAGGCAAAAGCAATTCAATGGAAAAAATTAGTATTTTTAACAATGGTCTTGGCAAAATTGGATATTCATATGCTAAAAAAAATGAATTTCCGCCTAAGCTTCAGCTGCACAAATAGGGAATAGAAGAATCTGATTCGACAAAAGTTCTTCTTAAAAAAAAAAGTCTTAGTTGACCACAAGTCAATATGAACCAATAGTGTTATTTGGATGCTGGAAAACTGCTCCATCAGACTGCAGGAATGGAAAGATAGGGTCCAGAATAAACAAGAACCAGCGTCACTATAATTCTGTGTTAATAAAAATTCAGCTGAAGTGTTTGTGACCATATTTTGAGATAAGTGCTAAAAAAATGAAGTATATTCAAGACCATGTCAGGACTGAAATTATGCCATATAAAGAACAGATAAAACAACTGAGAAGAAAAAGCTAAAAGTGACGAGAGATAAGCCCACCATTATCTGAAGAGACAATTGAAATAGTAGTAGTGATGTCTGCAACCTACTTTGAAAGGCATCAGGAAAATAAGATGGATGATGGATAGATATGTAATAAATGAAGTATGATAAAATATAGAATATAGTATAGATTCTAGGAGACAGGTATATAGGTATTCACTCTAAAAATTCTTTCTACTTTTTGTTATGTTTGAAAATTTCCATAATGAAATGCTGGACAAATAAAGAATAGTGGTAATCACAATTCCAGAAATGCAGTTTTATAGTCTTAACGTTGATAACACCTATCAGTTGGGTTAATAACTAAAAATGATCATTATAACAGTATTTTTAAAAAGCAGTAGATATATTCTATTTTAGACCAGGGGGGAAATAGCTATAGGAAGAGTATAAACTAAAGATAAGGATCCATTTTCTAACACTTTGAAGTATTCAACTATAGGGAGCCTTCTGAGATGCAAAATATTCTACCCAGGAGAGATCAGGAGAACATCCATGATGAACATGGTAGAAGAGATTCTTGAACTGGTTAGGAAATTAAAAGACTACTAAAATTTCCCCTATACTCATAAAATTCTTGTATGGTATCCAATAAAAATTAACTTTGAACTACAGAAGTTAATAGATAAAAAAGCATAAGCATGTCTAGAGCATTAATCTCTCTTGGTCTTTCAGGAACTCTGAGCTCAAATATCCACTTTCTACTTGACATCTCTCACGGACATCTAATAGGCCTTGGAAACTTAACAAAGCCAGAGCAGGACTCCTTACTACCTCTAATAAACTTACTTCTCCCTTAATCTTCTCCATTTTAGTAAATAACACCATAATCTACCAGTCACTTAGGGGGAAAGCCTGAGGGTCATCTTTGACTACTCTCTCCTTCTTACTACCCTGCATTAAATCTACCAAGTACTGTTGTTTCTACTCCAAAACATACCCTTCATCTCCACTACTACTACTCCATTCCAAGCCAACATCACCCCTTATCTGAACTACTTGTTTCTGTATAAGTGGCAATATGTAACAAAAATAACTTACAGTGAGTACTTATTAGATGCCAGGTGAAGGAGTTAATTAAAAAGAAATAAAACAGTTTGTGTCTTCAAACAACTCACTATCCAGCGAAAAGACACAAGTACATCAGAATGTGTTAAGTGTAGAGTAGAGGTATATTAAAAGGTGGTATGAAAATATAACAGAGCTACCTCTTTCCAGGAAAGTTAAAGAAACTAAATTTGACATTTTTTTAAGATAGAAGATTGTTTTATTTTAGCCTTATGTTAAAGTGCTTAAATTTTTTAACAAAAAAAATGGTTATATTAAAAGCATTATATTTTTAAAATATTTTATGACCAGAACTTGGGATCTTATAAAAGCCTAAACAGCAGGTCTGGTTCAAAACTTTAAAAGTATGTTTTTTAAATAATAAAATGAAGGATAAGATTGGGGGTTGGAATCCAGGGAAGGGAAAGGGGGCACAAATGCTAGAAGTAAAATAAACAGGAACAAAAAACAAAGGAGAAATAATAAAGAGAGTAGTCAAAGAGGTGAAATAAAGTCTGAGAGGTGTCCACTAGATTTGGAAATTAGAAGGTCATTAAGTGACTTTAGGGGGGAAAACTCAGTAAAGTAATAGGGTAGAAGCCACACCGCATGGATTGAAAAATGATTCTGAAAGTGATGAAATACAAACATCAACTAGAGACTTGGCTCAAGGAAATAAGTTCAAGATACTATAGCCAGAAGGGGAAAACAGCACTGAAGAAATAACCAGAATATGTACTCAGAAACAGTGACTAAGAAGGAAGATAGCTGTCACTACACTAACCATGAAATTACATCTTTAGAAAAGAAGAAAACAAAATAGATTGCTTTAAATAAATTGTTTAAACAATAAAAATGTTATCAAAATGTTCATATAATAAAAATAGGAAAAGAACTTACACTTTATCCCCAATTTCCTCTGCCATTCGAAGAATTTCAAAGAGAAGTACCATTTTTCCAGAATGCTCTAAAACCTCAGCATCAGCATCTGTAACAAAATCTTTGTACCAGTCTGGAGCTGGGCTGCTTGGATTAGAAGAGGAAGTAGCTTTACCTAAACAAAATAAATGAAACATAAATAAGTAGGCAAATAAGGGAAGAAGCTGAAAGACTCCAGAGAGGGATTAAGACAGAGATTAAGAGAAAGACATATAGACCAACCAACCCAGGGAGAGAGTGAGAAAGAAAGAGATTGGTAAGGATGTGGGAGATGGGTGCAACACACACACACACACACACACACACACACACACACACACACACACA